GGGCGGGGCTGTTGTTCTCTGGGACGAACAGGGTGTAGGAGGTTTGGGTGAAGGCGGGGGCGTTGTCATTGACGTCGGAGACCAGCACGGTTATGCTGTGCTCTGTTTTTAGCTTGGGTGACCCCAAGTCGGTGACGGTGATGGTGATGTTGTACTCAGTGTTTCGTTCTCGATCCAAAGGTTTCTCTGTCATTAGAGTGTAGAAATTCTCCACGGACGGTTTCAGGACGAAGGGGAGATCGTCGTGGATGGAGCACACCATCTTTCCATTGTTCCCTGAATCTTTGTCTCTAATCCTAAAAACAGCAACTACTGTCTCAGGCGAGTTTTCTGCAATTGGACTAGTAAATGATGACATGAGCAGCTCTGGCGGATTGTCATTTACATCTGTTACCTCAACCACCACAGTACATTTTCCAGAAAGCCCTCCGCCGTCTTTGGCCTGAATAGTTAGTGTGTAAGTTTGAATTGCCTCATAGTTCAATTCGCCTTTAAGATGAAGACTGCCAGATGTTGAGTTGAGTTGAAACGTTTTGAGAATTCTTTCAGTGGCATAGAAAAATGCGTAGACTATTTCCCCATTACTTCCGGTATCTAAATCTCTAGCGGACACCGCGACAACCCTGGAGCCAATTGGGCTGTCCTCGGGCATCTGCACCTTGTAGAGAGACTGCACAAATTCAGGGGCGTTGTCATTTATGTCCACCACCAGGATGCGCACAAGGGCTGTCCCCGACCTGGGCGGAGATCCGCCGTCCACGGCCGTGAGGGTTAAACTTAGCTCAGGTATCTCTTCACGATCCAGTACTTGATCCAATACCAATTCCGGATAGATAGTCCCCTCCCCGCTATCACGGACATTAATATGGAAATAAGCATTAGGGCTGATGGCGTAGTTACGCAGGCTGTTGTTTCCAACATCCGAATCCTGTGCACTTTCTAGAAGAAATGCTGTCCCTGGAGTGGTACTTTCTAATATTTTCAAGGGAATCTCTGTATCTAGAAATACTGGCGAGTGATCATTGATATCTCTGACCCATAGTTCAGCACGGAAAATCTGAAAAGGCTTTTCTAGTAACAACTGGAAAGGCAGCACACAGGGCTCTGTGGGGCCGCACAGTTCCTCTCGGTCCAATTTTTCATTTAGAAGTAAGTCACCAGTAAGCAGATTGAGCAGTAAAAATTGTATGCTCTGGTCTGAAACAATTCTAGATCCCCGGGCTGACAGTTGCCCCGCCCCCAACCCTAGGTCACTTGCTAGGTTAGCGAGAAAACTGCCTCTCTCAGTTTCCTCCGCCACAAAATACCGGAGCGGTTCCGCGCTAGCCCAAGACATTCCCAGAAATACACAGAGATATAGAACTTGCCTTTTCTGCACAGCACGCTCCATGCTGGCCTCCACGCCTCGTTTAATCAATCTTTCAAAATCACTTCCACTCAGCTTCAAGCAGCTCTCGGAAATGGCAGCAAGTGAATCCTTAGAAATGAGCTGGATAGTAGCGATGCTTGTGGGGAGGTATCCTCACTTTCCTCCAATTCCAATCACCACGATTTCCTTTCCCCTATTTTTCTGGTCAGATTTCCTCTTTACACTGGAATCCTTTGTGCCTGTATTTTTTTCTCCCCTCTTTTTAGCCTACAGCGCCACCTTGCGTTTTGTGTGTGTTATTCCCGTTCTCAAGAACAGAACAAAAAGATGGTGGATTGAAGGCGTTCTGCAACCAGTGTTTTTTCCCGAATGTCTTTGCTGTTTCATTCCTTCCGTCTTTTTTCTTCAAATGGTCACAATAATGCTAGTAAGTAACAGCTTATGTCGTTTCCCCCTCTGATAATCTGAATTCTTAGAAAAATAAATCTATTTTTTTCTTAAATCTAGGGGCATCAAATTAAACTCTGTCTCCTCACCAAAATCCTAAGAAAATCTTAAGAAAACTTTCTCCTATTTTAAAAAATTGATAGTAAAGAATATATAAGAAAATGAAGCCTCTTCCAAAATTCAACAAATATTTGTTGAGGAAATTTCATTTATTTGTAAACCATTCAACAATAATGATGTTCCTAGAGCAGAATAATTGGCCTCTCAGTTTCTTGCGAATTAGTCCATCCTACTTGGAAAGCCTTCACTCTTAACCCATAATATATTCTGGAACATTTTCTGCATACCCCCACCCCCAACCTTCACTCTTCACCTGCTTTAAGTATTATATATAAATTATCGTTCACCTGTAATTTCAGTGGCTGGAATCTCCAATATCCAATGAATACTTTTAAAATTAGTAGTAGCAAGTAGGTCAATCTTGTGTTTATGGAAGTACTTGTAGTATTTCATCTTTAACCATGATGGTTGATCTCAATTTGGGGTAAATACTCTTTTGAATCAAAACAGTTTTCTTCATTATTCTTTTACTTATTTTAAAGTAATTCTTGACATCTGTTGAAATTATACTTTTATTCTTCAGTTTTTAAAATTTTGAGTTCTTGATATAAATGACATTTAACTACAATGTATTATCATTTTAATGCATAGATGGATTTGATGTGTCAACATGGTTTTAGGATTTTTCTGGCCCATGTTATTCTGTGTGTATGTGTGTGGGGGTGGTTGGGGGTGTTTAACTTTTATGGTCTTGGTATTAAACTATCATATCGATGTCATAAAATGGGTTAAGAAGCTTTCCATGTATTTTATACATCAGAAAAGTTTTATAATTATATGATTATCTGTTTCTACATGCTTAATTGCAACTTGCCTCTTGAACTGGTTGGGTTTAGTGATTTCACTTTTAGTAGATCAATGACTACCTTTTCTATTTTACCTTTGATTATTAGTCTATTCAGGTAATTTGTTTTCTTTTTAAGTAATTTGCATTTTATTTTAAAACCATTCATTTTATCTAGTTTGAAAATTTCTTGGTATTATGTTTTCATTGTATTATTAGCTTTAGTTGTATCCCTATTCTTAATAGCAACGTTTAGTCTGCTTTTTATTCTTGGTGAGGCTTTGCAAGGGCACCATTTTACTGATATTTTGAATTTTTTTCAACATAATCTATGACCTTAGTTCAAAATTAAATAGCACTAAGAAGCTTATAATGAAATACATTGTTTTTCTGTGCTTTCCTTTCTTATTTTTCTTAGTTCTCTTCCCAAGAGATAGCTATTTTTCAACTCTTTTAGTTACCTCTTCTGCCAATAATCTGTTTTCTGAGGTATTTTGATTGGTTAATTTTAGGTATTATCAATTGACTCCTTATTATGTTGGATTAAATTTTAGCCCTTTCATGCCTTCTTTCACTTGCAATATATTAGAAGCATTGTTTTGTTTCAGTTCTTAGGGGGAGTGCTTTCAACTATTCCCCCATTCAGTATGATGTTGGCTGTGGATTTGTAGCTTTTATTATTTCTGGATGTATTCCTTCTATGCCTAGTTTGTTGAGGGTTTTTTTTTTTTGTCATGAAGAGGTGCTGGATTTTATCCAATGTTTTTTCTGCATATTATTGAGATGATCATATGGTTTTTATTTTTAATTCTGTTCATGTGGTGAATCTCATTCGTTGATTTGCATATGATGAACCATCTTTGCACCCCTGGGATGAAACCCACTTGATTGTGGTGAATTATCTTTTTAATATACTTTTGGATTCAGTTTGCTAGTATTTTGTTGAGGATTTTTCCATCTATGTTCATCAGGAATATTGGTCTGTAGTTTTTTGTTTGTTTGTGTGTCCTTTCCTGGCTTTGCTATCAGGATGATACTGGCTTCATAGAATGGGTTAGGGAGGATTTCCTCCTTTGATCTTATGGAACAGTTTCAGTAGGATTGGTACCAGTGCTTCTTTGTAGGTCTGCTAGAATTCAGCTGTGAATCCATCTGGTCCTGGGGTTTTGGTTTTTGTTGTTCTTGTTGTTGAGAGATTTTTTTATTGTTAATTCAATCTCACTTCTCATTGGTCTGTTCAGGATTTCTATTTCTTCCTGATTCAAGCTTGGAAGTTTGCATGTTTCCAAGAATTTATCCATTTCCTCTATATTTTCTAGTCTGTGTGCATAGAGATGTTCATAGTAGTACTTGGATGATGTTTTATATTTCTGTGGTATTAGTTGTAATGTCTCCTCTTTCATTTGATTGAACTCATTTGAATCCTTTCTCTTCTTCTTCTTCTTTTTTTTTTTTTTTAGACAGAGTCTCACTCTGTTCCCTGGGCTAGAGTGCCGTGGCATCAGCCTAGCTCACAGCCACCTCCAACTCCTGGGCTCAAGCGATCCTCCTGCCTCAGCCTCCTGGGTAGCTGGGGCCACAGGGATATGCCACCATGCCCGGCTAATTTTTTCTATTTTTAGTTGTTTGGCTAATTTCTTCTATTTTTAGTAGAGACGGGGTCTTGCTTTTGCTCAAGCTGGTCTCGAACTCCTAAGCTCAAGCAATCCTCCCGCCTCAGCCTCCCAGAGTGCTGGGATTACAAGCGTGAGCCACCGCGCCCGGCCTCTCTTCTTTTCTTGAAGTTATCCCTTTTCTCTTTGTTTTGATTTTTGTATTTCCTTTTGGAAACTTGTTTCAGATATCTCTTCTTCATTTAGTTTGGGAGACTAAAGAGTTGAGTAACAGCTCTGAGCAGACTGGTAGTGCTTGTCAATTTTTATTTTCATTTTAAAGTGAACTGGGATCATTGGTTGAAACCCCAGTGTCAGTGTGATTAGTTCTTTCTACTAGAACTGGTCAGATTACCTACCTCTTTAAAATCTCCTATCCAGAAGGAAAAGGTGTGGATTGGAAAAGGTAAAGGATTGAGTAGGGAAGGAGAAGTGCAGGTTTGTATCAAGATAGGCTAAGCGGTACTGCAACATCAAACAATTCCCTCAAATCTCAGTGGCTTAACACACTGAAGGTTGATTTCTTTCTCATACTGTATATCCTATGTAGTTAATCACACAGCCTTTCTCACAGTAGTCAGCAAGAGATCCAAACTTATAAAGACTCTGCATATACTTTCATGATGACTATAGTGGGAAAAGTAAATGTGTTAAACCATGCTTCTGAAAACTTCAGCCCAGGACTGATATATGTCACTCCTCACGTTTTATTGGTTAAAGGACATTACATGGCCACACAGAATTTAAAAAAAATAGAATTGAAATTCCATTTTCCATGTATCCAAGATGAGGAGAAATATTTGTAATTGGTCCTAATGACTATTATAGCATTTTAATAATCAACCAGCATTCAATATGTAGATGATTATTTACTTTTACTATCCATATTACCCCTGCCCTCAGCTTTGACAGTGGAACCTCTCATACAATGACCCTTATTTTTGCATGCATAAGAAAATAAAACTCCAGACTTATGATAGGGTGAAGAAGGTGGGTTACTCAGTGACTGGAATGGAGAAATGTGATCTGACTGCCAGAGATTTAACTGATTTTCAGGCAGTTTTAACACAACTCTCCTTATTTGGCATACTATCATCATTTTCAGAGCATCTAGGGTTGACACTCTGATGCCTCTAGAAGTCCTGCAGTCCAAACAGGATTGGTTCTCACCCAAATTATAAGGAATAGGAAACTTTAATTTAGACAGCGTAAAGGAAAAAGACTTAAAACAAAATCATCAAGCCATTAATGCACTATTCCCTTAAGTTAATACATCTTAGTTCAAGACTAGGGGAGAATAAAACATTTACATGTACTCCTGAGAGACTAAGAATAAAAGTGTTTGATAAATTTAATGTATATTTTTGAAAAAAGAAACAGAACATGGTCTGAAGCTGATTCAAAGACTCTTTCAGGCTGCAGTGAGCGATGATCACACCACTGCACTCCAGCCTGGATGTCAGAGCAAGGAAGACCCTGTCTCTTAAAAAAAAAACAGATTGAAATCCATTCATTCAACACTCATTCATCTATATTTATTTAAATATAATCATGTGCTGCATAACAATGGTTTGGTCAACCACAGGCCGAATATACAACAGTGGTCCCATAAGCTTATAATGGAGCTGAAAAATTACTATTACATTTTCTATGTTTAGATAAACAAATACTTACCATTACGTTACAATTGCTGACAGTATTCAGTAGAGTAACATGCTGTAGATTTTGTAGCCTAGGAGCAATAGGCTATACTGTGTAGCCTAGGTGTGTAGTAGGCTTTATCATCTAGGTTTGTGTAAGTACACTCTGTGATGTTACACCAATGACAAAATCACCTAACGAAGCATTTCTTAGAACTCATCCCCATCATTAAGTGATGCATGACTGTATATATTTTCTAAGCTCATATGACTAAAAACCCACTCTGTGAAGAGTACTGTCTTGTGGAGA